TCACAAGTTTCAAAATCTCCCCTCCCCTTACCGCATCCCAAAACCAGTCCAGCTCGTCCCCGCCTCCCTAACCTGTTCTTCCTCCCACCTATCCCCTCCTCCCACCTCAAGCCGCACCTCCATCTCCTACCAACCAACCTCATCCCGCCCCCTTGACCTGTCCGTCCTCCCTGGACTGACCTATCCCCTTCCTAACTCCCTACCTACACTCACCTTTACTGGCTCCATCCCCGCCTCTTTGACCTGTTTGTTTCCTCTCCACCTATCCTCTCCTCTATCCCTCTTCTAACCGCCTCCCACTCTCTCCCTATTTTTTTCAAAACCCCCTTCCCCTCCCCCTTTTCTGATGAAGGGTCTAGGCCCGAAACGTCAGCCTCTCTGCTCCTATGATGCTGCTTGGCCTGTTGTGTTCATCCAGCCCTGCACCTGTTGTCTCGGATTCTCCAGCATCTGCAGTTCCTACTATCTCTCACCCAAAATGATAGACATGCTTTCTTTCCCCTAAATATTTCCCCCTGCTTCAAGCAATATTCAGACCTTTTGTTATGCACCATTAGAACAATACAAATTAAATCAAACTGTCACTCTGAAAGTCTTAATAAAAATGTACATTTGTAAGAACATGATGGATTATGAAACATTGAAACACACACCAGCCATCTTGTAACATTCACTAAATGAACGGCAACCAGGCCTTCAATCCTGAGCTTACCGGTTTTTTCCTTTAATGGAGGATGTTCATCCTGGTCTTTATCTTCCAGTTTTTCTTTCAGGTATATCTCTGTCATGAAAGAAATTGCAAAAGAAAATGAGAAAATTGCAAACAAATAATAAAATACCACAACTCTGTACAGTTTATACTCCATTTGTTTGAAGAAAGCAGGATAAAATCCATAAAATAATTTTGACAGCTGAACTGAAATCTGTACATTGTACAGTAATCAGTGTGAAGATAATAAAATGGAAGGAAAATTTCAATAGATTGCATTAAAATTATACCAGAACCTTGCATTAAAAATGTCTGTTTAAACATCTGTATTTTTAAAAATTGTTTCTTGGGAAGTGAGCATCATTGGTAAGGCCAGTATTGGATGCCCATCCCTGATTGCCCTTGAACGGAGTGACTGAGATGAGTTTTTACTAGGTCTATTACTGAGACCAACTTTCAATTTCGCCAGTTGTGGGATTTGAACCTGTCTCCCCATTAACCTGGGGCTCTAGGCAACTAGTCCAGTAACATAACAACTATGCCACTATCTGCAAAAAATTCAAAAAGCTTCCATGTCAAGCAAAGAATTTGCCTGTACACTTAATTGAGCTACAGACAAAATTGTCCATTTTATGGACTAGAACACTTCCAAACCTGACAGTTCCCGAGTGTTAGATCTTTCATATGTGTAGTAACAGGTTTTATATGGACTGAGAGAAAACCAGACAAAATCTGCCTGTCTCAGTGGCATTTACAATAATAGAACATCTACAGTCTAGAAAGAGGATATTCAGCCCATCATATCCATGCTGGCTCTCTAGCAGAACAACAGGGCCAATACCACTACCATGGCCCGTCCCTACTGCCCTGCAAACTTTTTCTCCCCAGGTTCTCCAATGTTCTCCTCAAAGCCGCAACTGAAATCAATCTGCACAACACTGTCAGACAGTGCAATCCAGATGCCAATCACCCATTGTCAAAAATAGATTTCACTCATGGTTATTATCGCAGCTGATGTTATTACTGATCAAATCAGGTCCCAGACTGCAATGTGGCTCTGATAGATCACATTTATTTCAATTTAATGTGGTGGTCTTTTACTGAAAGATAAGCACGCAATGCTGCAGATTTGGTTTTATCAATAAAGCAGATATTTATTGCACAAAAGAAATGAAGACGAAATAGAACGAACCAAAGTTTTTATATATAACACAATTTGAAAATATTTCAAAGCACACAGGAAAATAAATCCCATCTATTCCAACACAATCATTGCACAGTACACAAATATCAGACTGAGTTCTCTTTTCTGTCATATCTACTGATTTACCTTTACTATTTCTTTCAATTCCCAATCTTAAAAGCATGTTTGCCTTTTCCTTAAATGATCATACAATTGAGCTTAAATTTTCTTAGCTTCAAATAACCCATTCACGATTTGAACCAAATGTTTCTGGTCTGGAATTTTCATGCTAAACCCTTACACCAAGGTAACCTTTTTTAAACCTGTTCTGAATGAACTCCTTTCTCAAGGAAAAAACATTCTTCCATTTGACCCCAGCCGGGTTTTCTGCAAAGTGAACTAAAAGCTTTCCAATCTATGCATTTTCTTACGAGTAAATTAATATCATTTATTTTGGGGTTTAGCTTTTGAACTAGTAGCATGCGGGATTCGGTGTGTGTATGAAGCAGTTTAATAACTTTTCTGAGCAAAATTTAGGGTGGCAGAGTGGCTCACTGGTTAGCACTGCTACCTGAAAGCATCAGCCACCTGGGTTCGACTCTACCTTGGGCAATTGTCTGTGTGGAGTTTGTACATTCTCCCCGTGTCAACATGAATTTCCACAGGGTGCTCTGCTTTCCTCCTACAGTCTAAAGATGAGCAGGTTAGGGGGATTGGCCATGCTAAATTGCCTACAGTGTGCAGGCTAGGTGGATTAGCCATGGGAAATGCAGAGTTACAGGGATAGCGTGGGGGTGGATCTGGTTGGGATGCCCTTCAGAGAGTCTGTGTGAACTTGATGGGCTGAATAGACTTATTACATGTTGTTGGGATTCTATGAAAATTTATTCTTCCATACCAAAAGCAACTGGGTGCCTTTCGATGCTTGCTCTCTCCAATCCTAAAACTCTCACAATATAAACAAATTCCCATTACTCTACAGAAGGCCCTAGTCAGCTACCCTTTGACTCAAAATGGTTTAAAATCATAGCTCCAGAAATACTGCCAATTATTAAACTTCTTCATATATACACATACCAAAGCCCACATGCCACTAGTTCAAAATCTAAGCCCCAAAAAAATGATATTAATTTTCATAAATCAACACCTGACATCTCACTCATGTTGCCATACGGTGTCTAGTCATGATTTTAAACATCTCCATCAATTTGTCCCTCCACCTTCACTCTCCCACATTCACCAAACTGAACAACCTCAACCTTTCCAATCTGTCCTCGGTACTGACATCTCTCACCTCCGGAACAATCATTCCCTGCAATCACAACTTTCACGGCTTTCCTAAAGTATCGGGTCCTGAATAGGACACAATACTCAAGGCTGAACTGATCTTTTATAAAAAGATTAATTATAATTTTTTCCTTTCTTTACTCTGCTCCGCGACTTAAAACCCCATGTTTCTGATTGCTTTAGAACTACTTTCTCAATCTGCCCTTCCACCTTTAACAATTTGTGCACTTATACCTGATTCGTTCCTGTATCTCCCTTTTAGAACTGCACTCTTTCTTTTATGTTGCCATTTCTATTCAGCTTCTTGCTTACTACCAGAAATACCTAGGAGGATTGAAGAGCAATTTACAGTAGAGACAAATGAAAACCATTATATGACCATCTTCTAAAATATGAATCATGATTCGTGTTCACGTGCCAGATTTGCCATTGTGGTGCCTGTGGCCAATTACAGGGAAGAAAAAAATTAAGAGACAGGAAAAATATTGGTTGAAAGAAAAATACAAATTTAATTACTATTTTAAAAGGAGTGCCAATTACAAAACTGCAGATTTGTGCAAAGATTGCAGCTTTTAAATCACAGTAATAAAAATTGACAGGAACATCAGCTGAAATAATGTACTGTTTTAACACGATGTCAGTCTGTTTATAATAAAACAAAGAACTACGGATGCTGGAGATCTGGAACAAACAAAACCACAAATTGCTGGAGAAACTCAGTAAGTCTGGCAGCATCTGCAGAGAGACAAAACAGAGTTCCATGTTTCGAGTCCAGTGAACTTTCTTACGCCTCTATATATTTCAATTAATTTACGGAAAGTACAAACTGCATGCAACAGGAATCGTCATTCTCTTGAAAAAGTAAATAGCTCCACCGGATGTAGTTCTGTGTTGTAATTTGATTCAAGTTGCATTGAATTGTCTTCATTTATGCCACGAGCAACTCCTGCATGATGGGAACAAATCTGTGCAAAGCTGTACAAGTAGCTAAACACAAGCTTCTGCTTGCATGGGTACTACAAACTTGATACAGGTTTTTATCATTTTGATCAGGAGCAAGGGAGTCTGAATTTAGGTTGACAACTGGAAGCAAATGATTAGAATGTTCTCAATATCAGAATAATATCGGCAAGTAGTCATTACTAATGTACTTTTACATTGCTATTTGGCAATGAATAGAAAATAAGGTTGGGAATCAAAACCTCCCCATTGTTGTCATATGATGTTGCTGAAAATGATATGAAACCAGATAGAATTTAACAATCAGAAATTATCAGCGCATGTACTTCTAGGAGCAGTTATCTTCCTCTTAACTCCTGCTTCTACATCACTCAACTTTCTGCAACCAGAGGGCAAGGGGTAGGATCTACATTGACATATGTACCGGCTTTTCTCAAAAGTCAATTCCAAGGGTATGCACAAAATGAACATGAGGTAAAACAGCTCAAGTGGAGAATTTAGAAACTCAAACCTGTAATGCTCGGTGAAGCAGCAAGCTGTGACTTTATGCTTTTAACTAAAAATGTCGTTGTTGAGCAAACTATATAAAAAGAGGCAGTGTAGTATTTGTAATGAAGTGAGGTTATGGATAACAGAAACAGAAATTGCTGGAAAAGCTCAGCAGGTCTGACAGCATCCGTCAAGAGATTTTCAGAGTTAATGTTTTGGGTCCTTTCCTCAGAACTGGTTATGGGTATGGGAGATAACGGGTAAATTGGTGAGAATCATTCCCATATATAGCTATAATAACTAAACTATCAATAAATTCTTCATCTTGTATATTTTGTGCATGTAATTTAGAAATATAGCTGGAGAAGGCCATATACCCTTTCAGCTTGTTCTGCCGTTTGCTAAGACCATGGCTGATCTTCTGTCTCAATTCCACTTCCTTACCCTACCCTCATATTTCCCCATTTCCCACTGTGCCAAAGATCTATCAATCTTAGTGTCAAGTAAACTCAGTATCTGAGCTTCCACTGTTCTCTGATGTGTCAAATTCCAAAGATAACCCAAATTTCAAAGATAACAGATTTGAATGAGAACTTGTTTCTTTCCTGATCTTGACAGTTTAGACCTCAGCTGGAGTACCATGTGCAGTTCTGGGCACCATGTCATAGGAAGGATGAGAAGTCAGAGTGTGCAGTAGACATTTACAAGAATATTTTCACAGGTGAGAAACTTCACTTCTGAAAGTGGATTGAGGATGTTGGGACAGTTCTCCTTAGAGAGAAAGCTGAGAAGAGAGCTGATAGAGATTTTCGACATTACGAGCAAGCTGGATACTTGTAAAAGGAATATGAACAAGACGGCATAGATTTAAAGAGATCTGCAAAAGGAAGGGCAAAGCGAGGAAAGGCTTTTCACTCATTAAGTAGTTAGGGCATGAAATGCACTGCTCAAAGTGTGGTGGAGGAAGGTTCAATTGACGAATTCAAGAGGACAGTGGATGATTATTTGGTTAAAAAGAAACGTGCAAGGGTATGGGGACAAAGCAGGAGACCGGCACTAGGTAATGTCACTCGTTTAACAAGCTGATGCAGACACGGTGGGCCAAATGGCCTCCTTCTGCACTGTGATCTATCCTGTTTTGATTCTGTCATCTCAATCCTAAATGGTTTGACCCCTCCTTATTCTGAGACTATGATCATTTTTCTAGAGTCCATATATGGGGGAAACATACTGTAAATACTGCATTTAGCAACATCGTGATAGTTTGTTGAAAAACGTTCTGGAGAAATTTTGTGCATGGAACAGAGTCTACTTTCTGATTTACAGTGCTAAAAAGCCCAGGATACAGCCTTCACTGGTGGAATGTTAAAAGGTTTGCTAGACTAAGAATACAAAGACTTCAAACTTATTTAAGAATTAAATGCTCAAATCACTGGATCACACATTAGGTATGAAGGTAGTCCACCAGTCTCTTCAGATTTGCGCTGGGAGTTCCACCTTGCCTGATGAGAACTGGAAATTTCAGGGATCAACGTTCAATTATCAGGTTCCACTGGCAGCAATCCCAGAAGCAGGCACTAGCCCCCTTACATAGGTCTGTTTTAGTGCTACTTGTAGAAATTACATAACAAGTGGATCGATGACTGTTAAAAAGTCACAACAGCATCCTTCAGACTTTAGACTTATTCCATTATGTAAATGACAACTTCTGTGAAAAAGATGCAATTTATGCAAAAAGAATAAAAAAGGAGCATGTTTGGTCACTGCTGTTAGAATAACAAGTAGTTAATTAGGTGACTGGGGTTATCGGATTCATTAATGGATTGAGTAAATCTAAAGGGGGATGGGAACGTGGAACCAGCCGTTAGACGGAATAATAAAGGGTTCTTGTAGCGCAGTGGTAGTGTCCCTACCCCGGAGCCAGGAGGCCTGGGTTCAAGTCCTATCTGCTCCAGAGGTGTGACATAACATCTCTGTAACAGGTTGATTAAAAAAAAAGGTTAATTAAAATAAAAGATGGCATAGTCAAGGGCCCTTGTGGTGCAGTGGTAGTGCCCCAACCTCTGGGCCAGGTCTTACCTGCTCCAGAGGTGAGTATCTCTGAACTGGATGATTAGACAGTATCTAAGGCAACAGTAGAGGGTTCTTGTGGTGAGGTGGTAGTGTCCCTACCTCTGAACCAGGAGCTGAGAACTAACAAGTTGATAAGAAAATAAAAAATAAATGAACTCTATCTACAAGGGAATGTGTCTTAGTTTCTGTCTCACTGGCTGGCCAGGATCCAAGTTAGCAATGTGTGGGTAATAAATGGGACATGTTAGTGCCAGTGGAAAGTTTACCACTGTCCAATTACTTTGAGTTCATTGGCAAACACTCAAAGGTCAAGTTAGACGAACAAGAAGAAGGTGAGACTTTTAGGGACAGCTCTTAACGCAGATCTCAGTTGACATATATAAGTCATTATTAATCACAATTTCATTGCAGGTGATATTTATGCATGATTGGGTGTTCATTTCTGTCGTCAACTCTCGATTAATTCATTACTTTGAAGACCCCAGTAAAAGGAAATTTCAAATGCAATAAATTAAAAATCACTTACTTTTTGCATCTTCTCTCCATACAGATATATCCTTCAGCAGTACAATGCCATCATCGAAAGCATCTGTATTGAGAAAATAAAAACTGTAATTTCTACATGCTAAATATTGATACACAAATAACAACGCAGGACCAGGATCTGGCAATTTTATACAAACAGCAAATCTTCCCTGGGGAGTTACTGTCCCCTCCTCTTTCTATAGTTATATTCTGTATTATATTCGTAACTACAACAAAAGCTAACTCAGAACCATAATCAGGATCAAGACTTCAGGAGTGCTGCCTGTAAGTTTGAATCTGACAACAGGACTGGGGCTGAGAGAAACCCCAGTAAGAGGACAAGCATTAAAAACACAATGGAAGGAATGGTCAATACCCAGCAGATGGCATTTAGTATTAAAAGAGTTTAAGCTTATAAGCATGGGTAAGGTGATTGCCAATTACATAGATGCTCGACTGGGTTCTGAATTAAAACCTTTTAAGGAGCAAAGACCTGGATGTTACAGTGGCCAAGTATCTAAAGGTTCTTGCCTCATGCTGAAAGCTATGAAACATTGAATTATAATTGCAGAATGAGGCCATTCAACCCATCATTCCCATTCTAATTCTTTGAAAGAGTTGTCCAAATTGGTCCAATGCCCCAGTTTTGCTCGGCAATTGTCTTTTGAACCTTTCAATGGAGTCTGCTTCTACCACCCTTTCTGGTAACACACTCCAGACTCAATAATCCAACACATTGAATTTTCTCCACATTTTACAACTGGTTTTTTTCCAAATTATCTTAAATCTATGGCCTTGTCAGAAGCAACATTTTCTATGTCAAAATATTGACTGCGTCTATGAGGCGTTGCCAAGTCAATCTTGGTGATCTAAGTTATGAGGAAAGATTATACAAATTAGGCATGTCTTATTCAGAATTTAGAAGGTTAAGGGGTGATCTGATTGAAGTCTTCAAGATATTAATAGGAAAAGACAGGGTAGATAAAGATAAACTTTTTCCATTGGTTGGATATTCTAGAACGAGAGGCCATATTCTGAGAATTAGGGCCTGACTTTTCAAGAGACATATTAGGACTTCCATATGCAAAGCGTGATAAAGGTTTGGAACACTCTTCCACAAATGACAGTGGACGCTGGACCAGTTGCTAATTTTTTGTTAAGCAAAAGTACTATGGGATATGGGCCAAAGGCAGGTATATGGAGCTAGGCTACAAATCGGCCATGATCTCATTGGACGTTGAAGCAGGGCTTGAGGGGCTGAATGGCCTACTCCAGCTTCTATCACATTGAAGCACCCCCAAACAGAGCGTACTGTATGTGTTTGCCACTGTCGGTGTTTTATCGGAGTGGTGTTCAACATGTGGGCGGACTGATTCGGCTGATAGGGTGGGGGTCTTGGCAGTAAGTGGTAATCAGCAGATTTCCTTACCCATGTGAAAACTGATGTCATGAGATTTCATGGGGTTTGAAGTTGATGATGAGGATTCCCATGGCAACCCCTTCCTGATTTTATTCTACCTCTTGATGGGTCTGATCTGCTGGTGGGACACAATAGAGCCAGGCATGGTGGCGGCAGTGACTGGAGCATTGTAAGTTATAATCCCATGAATATGACTATGTCAGGCTCATGCTGGACTGGGGCACCTCTCCCACTTATGGCACAAGCCCCCCAAATGTAAGTAAGGAGGATTGACAGGGCTGTGTTTCCATCGTCATTGCTGGTGCCTTGATCAATGCTAAGGTACAGCTTATCATTACTTTGCATCAGCATTAAGTACTCAAAAGGTCAGGTGGAGCACAGCTGCCTGCAGAGTAAAACTCCATAATCAGAACAGCGCTGCGTCAAATTCAACCATTTCCTATAACCACCTTAGACCCACTGTGAAATTGTTAATTGAGAAGTAAGCTATAGTTTTGTCCTATGGTCATTGACAGAGCGGATCCAGAAATGTTCAATGTTGAAAAATAATTTCAAAAAGAAACCTGTCTACAAAGACTTAGCTTCCCCGAAATTAAATTGAACATGGCACCCAGTCAAGGGTCTCTCGGAATGTCCAGCAGGAAAAGCAGCAAAATGTGTTGAAGTATTCTCACAGATATCAATCCAGGACATAAAATGCACTGATTATCATTCAGCTGTAATAAATTTTACTGAGAGAAATAAACATTTGGAGGGGTCTATTAGAAAATGAAACAACAAACTTTGAAAAATAAAAAAAAACTATGACATCGTGATTTAAATATTGCACAAATATAAATTCAGTTTTCCAGGGTTAGACAGGTTGTTCAACAGGAAGAAAAATTCAATTTTAACACATTGACCAAGGCTTATCTTTCGCAGAATATTTGAAGAGCAAATTTGCAGCATGAGGAAGAAATATATTCATCAGTTCAGATATTTTGACATATTGTCGTGGGAAGTTCAACAATACATCCTGTAATGCAATCAGCAATCAGACAGAAACCTCTAGGTTACCCAGTTTGCTTGCATAGGCATTGATCCAAGAGGTTGTTGTCAATTTTACTGAATAATGACAGCACATACTTCAGGTTTTACCCAATTGCAAACATAATATCCCTGCCTAGACGTTTTGCCCAGTTTTCATTTGAACCTGGGAAGTTTAGATCATTGATGGCGAATACTCATCTTAATGTATCCGTTACGCTTCCTGATAAATCATTCCAAACATTCTACAAGCCAAATGTACCCTCATTACTGCAATTTTTATTCACACTGCCCAACTCAGAACTGTGGGCCTCTTTATTACACATGGATCTTTACTTCTGATCCTTAAATCTTTTCAAACTCTCATAGTGCTACCTGTTGTTATTTCCTGATTACCATCTTCCCACAGCTGCTGAATCAGCACTCTTCCGTGTAACACTAAGGAAGAACTGACGGTATCACGGATACAAGAAAACATAGTCTGGGTGGGGAATTTCAACGTCCATCACAAAAGTTGCTCGGCAGCAGTACTACTGATTGAACTGTTTCATAAAGATCATAGCTGCTAGACTGGGTCTGCAACAGGTGGTGAGTGAACCAAGAAGGGGGAAAAACATACTCAACCTCATCCTTACCAATCTGCCGGCTGCAAACGCATCTGTCCATGAGTGACCACCACGCATTACTTGTGGAGATGATGTCCTGCCTTCATACTGAGAATACCCTCCATCGTATTGTGTGACCTTCACCATTCTAAATGGGACAGACTTTGAACAGACCCAGGTCCCTGGCACTGTGAGGCTGCAGTGCTAACCACTGAGCCACCGTGCCGCCCCAAAGTAGTCACTCCCCTAGCCAAGGGGAGCCATGCAATTTGCCACTCCTCAGATCAGAATCTGTCCAAGTTCAAATGCAATGAGAGCTGGACAATATCTGGGCTTGGGCTCTCAAGTGGCAAATACTGTTCGCACCACATAAATGCTAGACAATGACCATCTCCAATAAAAGACAACCTAACCACACCCCTTACCATTGGTGAAGTCCCCACTACCAACACAGAGTTACTATTGACCAGAAACTCAAATGGACTTGCCAAATGAATACAGTGGATACAAGAGCAGGTCAGAGACTGGAAATACTGCAGCGAGTAACTCACCTCCTAACCCATCAAAGCCTGTCCACCAAATACAAGACACAGTCTGGAGTTTGTTGGAATACTCTCCACTTGCCTGGATGGTTACAGCTCCAACAACACTCAGGAAGCTTGACACCATCCAGGACAAAGCAGCCCACTTGATTGGCACCACCCACTCCATCATCTTTTCTCAGCAGCAGCATCAATATATACAATCTACAAGATGCACCGCAGAAATTCACCAAAGATCCTTAGACTGCACCTTCTAAATTCAACCATTTCCATCGGGAAGGACAAATGCAGCAGATACATCGGAATGCCACCCCCTGCAAGTTCCCCTCCAAGCCACTCACCATCCTGACTTGGAAATATATCGCTGCTCCCTTAGTGTCGCTGGATCAAAATCCTGGAATCCCTCTCTAATGGGATTGAGAGTCTAGCTACAGCACATGGACTGCAACAGGTGAAGGAGGCAGCTCACCACCACCTTCGTAAGGGTTACTAGTGATGGGCAATAAATGCTGGTCCAGCCAGCGATGCCCATGTAATACAAATGAATAAATATAAAGGATTAGACATCTTACTGAAGAATCCATTTTGTTGGTGATTTCTGGCATTCTGCTTTTATCCTGTGGGTGTTGGTTTCTCGATAAATAAACATCACGTTCAAAACTGGGTAGACCCACCGCAAACAACCCAGTGTCTCCTTAATGCCAATCAACAGATTATAACAATATTGATACAGAAGGTAGAGAGAGCACATGCACATTTAACTAAGATCACATTTGAATTGAGTGCGATATTAAAATACACTGTGCTGTTGACCTCTGAAACCACAAGCATGATATAACATAATTCTTGGCAAGTCCTTTGAACTCAAACGTATTTCAATCAATTATAAAATGAACATGGTTCTTGTAAATGTTTTTCTCCTCTCATTGTTTTCTTTGATAGCTTTTAATCTTCTCGAATTGATTAACCACACTGTAATAGGACTCCACAGATGCTATCTTTCCTTTCAGCATCTCATTCAAACATCCAGTCTTCTTAGCTGTGCTTCACTAGTGGGTGCAGCGAGCTAATCCACTTTGTGAGCATCACATCCAAGGTCAATGGTCTGTACCCAAACTTCATACATGCGCATTTTCCATCAATTAATAGCAATTGGGAGCTCAGACCTCAACTGTCCTTTCTCTTCTGTAACCCCGGCCTTTCCCAAGTGCACTGAAGCTAACTGTAGTACTTGTACTGCTGCTCTGGCTGGTATCAGTAAACAGCACAAACCAGGAATCTACCCTGGGGAACATTCCTGATTTTTCTGGCTTGTCTGCACAACAGCCAATTATCAACATGAGCAATTAGACAATAAAATATTACAGCTCTGATATCCTTCTGCAGGCACTGCTGGGTGTAATCTGAACAGTGCTCTCTCAGATAATTATTTATCTGGATGTGTTAAGGGTGAAAATAGCAACTGGCATACCAGCGCAATAAAGTTCTGACAAATGCATTTTGTTGAAATACATTAAAGTCTTAGTCTGTTGTTCTGAAAGCTTTCTGCTGCGCAACTGCTAATATTACAATTAATTTCAAGTTTCTGAGGAGCAGAATGTGTATATGCACATATTTGAATTGCTAACTCCAAATACAACAGAGTTGCAGCATAAACAAATACAAAAACATTATACTGAAAGGACACTGTCATTTTTTTAGCATTCCACTTCTGTACTGCTTGCAAATTCAATAGCAACTTCCAGAAAGATGCAATTGGATACATACTTCAATTACGAATAGTCTTCATAACTATGGGAAAAGTAAAGAAGTGTAGCCTTTGGATAGCCTTTCCAAAGAGCTAGTACTGGCATGAAAGGCTGAATGGTCTCTGCATTCTGTCACTATGAGTCTAGCTGCAGTCCATTCAGCGCTACAAATTAGAGAAAGTGCAATTAAGCAAACAGTACAATTCATTTGAAGATAGAACTCCACTGATTTCCCCACTACGGCTCAGTTACAAACCAAAGAAACAGTTCCTGCCACAGTAATGGGATGTTTGGAGCCTTCACTTTACATATAATTCAAAAAAAAAAAATTAATATTAAAAGTGTAGGTGAGGAAGGTACCAAAATAATTAATCAAACAAATTAACAGCCCCTGAAAAGGGGCCTGTAATTTAAAAAAAAAAATCAAAACTTGAAAGGAAATTCATCAAGTTAAATTAAATGTTGTTTGTAGGGCTGGTAAACAACTCCAGCCTGTTACAAACTGGTTGGCATCATGTTCTCTCTCTTCAGAGGCACTGAGGCATAGATGGACTGTGCATAAATGATTGGAGACAGTAGGGCAAGTTAAGAAAGCAGTCAATAAAGCATTTTGGGATCCGGGCTTGTATTAAAGGGAATGGAGTCCTATAATAAACAGTATTATTACAAAGCTACACAAAACTATTCTTTTTTCTCCCCTCTGATGTGGGTATCACTGGCATTGCCATTCCCAATTGCCTCGAGGACATTTCAGGGGCACATCTAGGCCAGGGACAAACAAGGATGGCAGATTTCCTTCTTGAAACAAGGACAATAATGAATCAGATGGGTTTTTATAACTATTGATTCATGGTTACGATGAGACCTGCTTTAAACTGCAGATTAACTCATTAATTGAATTTAAAGTCTTCCAGCTGTCATGGTGGAATTCAAACCCATATCCCCACACAATACATCTGGGATCCAATGACCTTACCACCACACCACCATCATATCTGGCCTCTCCTGGGGTATCGTGTCTTGTTCTGGGCACCACCCTTTAGGAAGGGTTGAATTAGTTAGAAAGAATGGTGAAAAAATTTCACAGGAATGGTTCTGGACATGAGGGGCTCAGGGCAAATGGTTAGATTGGATACTGGGGTTGCACTCCTTTACATCTTGTCATCTCCAAAGAGATTTGATAAGGGCATCGAAACTCATTAAAAGGTCTGAACAGATTAGAAAGAGGGAAACGTTTCCCAGGGCGAGAACAAGAGGTGATGAACAGAGGAAATAGCCGTTTCATGAGAAAAGCACAACATATTTTCATACAGCAAATGATTAGGATCTAGAATGCATTGCTTAGGAGTGCGGTGGAGGCAGATACAATCAAAGCCTTCAAAAGGAATTGGTTAATTATCCAAACAGCAACAGGAAAAAGGAGAAAGTGGAACCAGGTGCATTTGTTACAATGAGGTTAGGAATTGTCAACATTAAAGAAGAACGCCAAATGCCCAATTAACCAACAGAACTGTGCCACAAGATTTCACGTTTGAACAAAAACAAACTTTATTGTATATCAAAAAGTATCAAACAAAGCAAGTACTATTAACACTAAAGTTTACAACTGCATATTTTATGAACTCAGATTACTTTATATTTCTCCCCAAGAGCTCTCTTATCTTAAAATCCCAATGGTTCATTCAAATAAAAGCCTCAGTGCAGCTTTTTCAAATTCACTTGAATTCTCCTCAGTGTTCCAGCGAACTTCTGAGGTAAATATTCTGGAAGCAAGTGAGGAAGGACGAAATCTAGGACTGTCGGGAAGGTAGTTGTTGGGTATAGCTATATTGTTATGGGGGTCTGGGAGCACACAAATAAGTTTGCAATGGAAGATTGAGTAGTAGGGCAAGAGAGTGTGTGCAGTTATCTAGCAGCAGTAATAATAACAAAACGGAAACTCCTGAAAAGTAAAAGCACTCAAAAACACCTGACAAAACCCATGAAAACTGGGGTCTCATGCCAGAGAGGATGGGGGAGGAACAAGTAGCAAAAAAATTTCAAGGGTCACTGACTGGTGTTATGTTGGAAACTTTGGTTGCACTAACACTACTTGATGGAAGCTTTAAACATCACTGTTTCTTTTGTAGCAAATTCTAATTAACTAAAAATGGTGTCATTTATAGCTTGTATGAACCTAACAGCTCATGGGAATTAAATCTTTCTGCTTGCTTGAAAAAAAAAGTTCAATATTTAAATCTATTTTAACTTTACTTTTAAGAAACAAGCGAATACTGTATCAGAAAGAGTTACTGTCTCCATCATCAGCTACCTCTATAAATTGATGAAATACAAAACTAAATGAAAAATTCATTCTGCATATGGTTTTCAAATAATTTAGAAAAATTCAAATAAAATGAAAAATATTGACTCCATGAGGAGGTACACTTCTCCACTGAGAATTAGTATTCTCATCGCCCTGACAAAACCCTACAAATTCGACAATGGGAAATTCTGCTAACTCTCTCAAGTTAGTAACAGTTGAGTACAGTAAATGCCGTGGAGTTAGTGTCTTTCAAGTAAAAACAAAGAAACTAGTCAAACATACAAAAGACAGCTTCATGGCAAGTTTTAAATGCAAAAATGTCACTTTTAAAAGAAGTTTAGGAACTTTGAGGCCACATGAACTCAAAAAAAGGACAAAAAACTTGGATAAAATCTTGAGAACAGAATTGAGTTTTTCGCCTTCTTTCTTTTATTGGTATGTTCTTCTGATTGGTCATTCAGGATTGGTTGTTTTCATAAGTCCTTAGTAGTTTTCTAGCACTGTCCTCGCTTTTGATTTGTACGTTTCCCATCTGCCAAGAGACAGTGAAGCATGTGTTTTTTGATTGGTTCCTGGAAAATATACAAAATAGTACTTTCTTTACCCACTGCAGGTAAATAAATAACTCAGTAACACAGCTAAATCTCTTACGAATAATTGTTGATCTAATTGTAAGTAAAGTGTAGCTACTGTATCTATTTAGAATGCAAATGAAACCTGACGGGTCTGTTATGAAATAAAAACCGAAAGAACTGCGGATGCTGTAAATCAGGAACAAAAAAGAGAAGTTGCTGGAAAAGCTCAGCAGGTCTGGCAGCATCTGTGAAGAAAAAAATCAGGGTTAACGTTTGGGGTCCAGTGACCCTTCCTCAGAACGTTTTTGGGTCTATGAAATTGGTCACATTTAACACGCTGTAGATAATCATTGATTATAGCTCTGAATTTTCTTTTGGAGAATTACCTCAGAGAAGACAGCAAAGGTATCTTCTTCACCGGAAGGTAGTTCCTTGGGTCACTGCGATAAATAAATACATAGTTGCTTTAAAACAAACAAGCTGTACAAACAATCTACACTTGATAGATTTTGTGCAAGTTACCTTTGGTAAAGTATAAATTGCCAAGATGTTTTGTTTTCAAGTTTTAACAAGAAAACAGAACCATGCTGTTCATTGTGGAAATTACACAACATACTTTGCTGATCTCTGGAACAAAAATTTAAGACCAAAAAAGGTGTTTCCAGGGATTGAGAGGCATCAACAACAAGGGTCAGTAAATTCCAATGCCATAATCCAAGATCCAAGATCCAATGGTACTCCAAATCAAGATGGAATTTTGTGAAAAGGTTTCCCCAGGAAACATGATTTAGGAAATCTCATGTCTGAACAAACCAGTTATGTAGAATGTTTTAATTGCTGAAGCTTATATAAATTACTGTCTTTTGGCATGGTGGTAGTGGCAATAACACATCCAATGAGACTGATTTAAAAAAAAATCATTTACAGTAAAACCTTAGCTGGAAGAAAATTCAAAGCAGACTTTCCAAAAATATTATCTGCACATGGGATGTCAATATTTAAAATATAATCTTCAGGTGAATGGGGTAATACAGGGCGGAAGATACTTGGGCTAGGGCATAATTTGGCTCTCATTTTTGAAGTCACATCTTACTCCTGATATTTGCATCTCAACCACTTTCTTTTATCCAAACCAATAACAGAAACTGCATGCACAATCTACAACATCTCTGACTCAAGGAATGCACCTGTGTTCACTGACCTACATTGGCACCCTGTGTACCAAAACATAAGTCTGACCATCTGCATTAATGACTTGAAGGTGGGATGGGGGTGTGGTATAATGTGTCCAAATTTGGTGATGATGCAAACAAAAAAATGGGAGGACATGTTGTGATGTGGACATAAGGAATCTGCAAGTGGATATAAATAGGTTGAGTGACTCAGCAAAAGAAAACTTGACAGATGGAGTTTCATGTTGGAAAGTGAGGTCATGAACTTTGGTAGGAAGAATCCAAAGGCAGATTATTTAAATGGAGAGAGACTCCAAGAAAGTTCATGAATCTGGGTGTTCTTGTGCATGAAACATAAAAATGTCATCATGCAGGTACACCTGTAATTGATGCCACAAATGAAACTTTTGCCTTTACTGCTTGGGGTTGAAGTCTAAAATAGGCAGGTCTTGTTGCAATTGTACAATGTGTTGGTGAGGCTGCAACTCTACAGTTTTGATCCTGTATTTAAAAATGGATATATTGACACTGAAGGCAGTTCAAGAAAAAAAGAGATTCACTTGGCTGGTTACTAGGATGAAGGGGTGACTTGTCAAGAACAGTTCAACAGGTGAAGTCTTTAATTCATTAGCGTTTAGATGAATGAGGAGTGATCTACTGAAATATACAAGATTCTGAAAGGGCTTGACAGGGTTGATGTTGAGATGTTTCCACCAGCGGGTGAAATCGCAAACTAAGAGACATAGTTACAGAATAATGTGACTTAAAATTGTAATGTGAAAGAATTTCTTTCCCCAGACTGTAGCGAATGCCTGGAAACCTCTACCCAAGAGAGTTGTGGAGGTAGATCATTGAAAGTACTTAAAAGCAGAGGTAGATAAATTTTCTTTAAAATATTGAGTTGAGTTAAGGGCTATGAGGAGCTGGTATGAAAGGGAAGTTGAGGTTTGGGGCATATCAGCTGTGATCTTATAGAGTAGTGGGACAGGCTTCAAGGGCTAAATGGCCTGTTTCTACTCCTATTTCTCATGTTTCCATGTTCTCATGTTACGTACTCACCCCAAAAATCCCTCTCATTGAAGTGCTTCCAAAGACAACATTCCTGTTACTAGACACACCACTTAAATCATCCCCCTTCTCCACTGTCACTCAACTCACCCTCACTCTCCATCAAGTCTAACTGTCCACTGCAACACATCAAGTGCAATTAGTCCAGAGACTCTTGACAAATTAGTTCCGTTCCTCCCTCTTATTACACCTTCTTGTCTGTTGCTGTCAAAAAGGTTTTACCAACTTTCAAAAATCTAATTGCATTTGTTTAATACAAAAATTATATTTGGGCAATGAAATGTTTGCTGCTTTTTTCTATTGTTGACTAGAATTGCAAACTAGAATCTGTCATGACTAATTATGATAAGCATTGACTTTTTCTGTCAATTAAACAGTACTGTTTAATTAAGTGGCCTCAAAATTCAACTGCCATTTTATAACATTAAAAATGAAAGTACCCTCCTTCTACAGATCTTGGTCCCTCTCATTATTTGCCAGTTTTGTATATTGTGCAAAGTTTATGGAAAACAAGTAAATTCTAAAACTTGCATTTTATCAGAACATTTACTTCTTACATATTTGGGTTTGCCACACAGTTTCATGTTCACCTCAATAAGGCTTTTGAAATATATGCTTTTTCTCACTCCAATATTACATGAAGCTCTTGGAGAAAAGAAAAAAATAGTACACCAGCACAACTAACTAAATACTAGTGATCCAAATTCAACTCAGGAGTTGCTGCTCTGGGCAAAACTAAAGTATAAACTCATATCTACGAGGGGCTTCAGGTGTTGTGGTAAAATTTTATGCAAGAACTAAAAGGCATTTCAATTAATAAATTTGAAACATGTTATTGTACATTATATAAATTTAGTTAACTACTTTGTATGAGCCTTTATCTTATTGTACCACCTAAAGGATTAGGAAAAGTTACAGCTGTTTTTATGTGTTCGTGTAATTGGCATGCCCACAGTCAATTTAAAATAAACCAGATTGTTGCAATGGCTGTTTTTTAGATCATTATCTACAGCTGGCTCCATTTTATATATTTATTGAGGATTAGAACCAGTCAATATCTTGTTTTCTCTTTGGTAGAGACAGAACTCAGGCACATGCATTGATTTTATATATCCCTTGGTCTTTAGGTTCCACTTCACAAAATAGTGCTGGAAAATTACATTCTGACACTTTATACCTAGCTCCAGTTGTTTTCTTCAGAGACTTGCCAATCGCAGGGTGATTTTAAAAAACTCCAACTCAAATCTTCGATCTAAAAGCAACTCAATCTCTATCCTTCCTTCACTTTTAGTCAACCATCCTCTCTTATGGCATTTGAGCCTATTTGTGAAGATTACACAGAGACTAGGTTGGCTTTGGTGGAGACTATATAATGTGTGCCAGAGAGCTCAAATCCCTGCTCTAAACAATTACACCAGTATCCCACAGCACGCAGGCATATCTAGCTAGGCCAGCATTTTTTTTTAAACTCACCCCTGACTGCCCTGGAGAAAACGGCAGTGATCTGACTTCTTGAATTATTGCAGTTTTTGGAAGGTAGGTACACCCACAGGGCTATTATGGAGGGAGTTCCAGGATTTTGACCAATCAGTTCCGAAGGAACAGTGACAAAGTCCCAAGTCAGCTTAGTATCTGGCTTGGAAGGGAACTTGCAGGATTGATGCTCCCATGCGAGTGCTGCTCTTGTACTAAGTAGTAGAGGTGACAAGTTAGAGGCCCAAACCTACGAAACAGACTCTTGCCTATGGCGAGGCTAAACAACATTACGGGATAGAAAATGAAGCAGTGCAAGATAGTGGACAAAGACACATCCCTCCCTGACGTACTCAATGCTTTCTATGCTTGGTTTGAGCAGAATGCCAGTAGAGTGGTCATGCCTGCCCTGACAGCCCCAGACACACCTGATCCCTCGGTCACCACTTCAGATGTCAGATCTGTCTTCCAGGGAGTCAACCCAAGGATAGCGATGGGTCCGGACGGTGTCCCCGGCTGAGCACTCAGATTCTGTGCAGACCAACTGGTGGAGGTATTCACCAGGATCTTCAAACTCTTCCTCCTACAAGCTGAAGTCCCCACCCACTTCAAGAAGACCACCATCATCCCCGTACCCAAGAAGGCACATGCAACATACCTTAATGACTAGTGCCCAGTGTTTCAAGAGGCTGGTCATAGTCCACATCAACTCCAGTCTCCCAGTCCACCTCGATCCCCTACAATTTGCCTATTGACATAACAGATCCACAGAGAATGCCATGTCCCTAGCCCTGCATTCATCACTGGCACGTCTGGACATCAAAAGACACCTACGTCAGACTCCTGCTCATTGAAGGCAGAGCTGTAGTCAACACCACTATCCCCTCCAGACTGATCTCAAAACTCCGAGACCTTGGTCTCAGCTCCCCACTCTGCAACTGGGTCCTCAGCTTTCAGACCCACAGGCCACAGTGAGGATAGGTAACTGCACTTCCTCCACAGTAATACTCAACACTGAAGCCCCCGAAGGAATCTTCCTCAGCCCCCTACTGTCCTCCCTTTACACCTACAATTGTGTTGCCAAATTCCGAATGAATGCCATCAGCAAGTTGGCTGACGAAACCGCCATAGTGGGACAGATATCTAACAACGACAAGTCAAACTACAAAAGGGCACAGAAGGCTTGGTGACATGGTGCAATGAAAACAATCTGTCTCTCAAAGTAGGCAAAACTAAGGAACTGATCATCAACTTCAGAAAGAAAGGAGGAGAACATGCCCCCAT